AGATAAGAGAAATATAAAAATATAGAAAATAAAAGTTGTGGCTGCAGTTCGCCTACCAATTTGTTGTAACTTGTACACCACCCACTCCTTTTTGGCACGAACCAATCGTCTCTCTCTCTCTGCCCAAAAGGCGTTTTTGTAGCAACTAGCCTAAATTGCATGGGGGAGAATTTCATCCAAAAAATTAGGAATAAATAAATAAGAAAGAAAAGTAAAAGATAAGGGCAAAAATCAAATCTTTCACTCCTGAAAAAGAAATGAACTTTTTTTTTTCCTGTTGGGTCTAAATTCCCATCCTCATAAAACTCTAAAGTATGAGAAACAGAGCAAACGATAAGATTAATTACAACCCCCCTGGCTCAAAGAGAGAGAAAGACAGAGAGAGAAGGATATGTCAGATGGTATATTAGCTTGAGATAGAAAATACTTGTGCTGGGTTTTGTTGGTTGGTGAAATAGTTTTTGGGGATGTCAGGTGGTGGATGCAGTGTAGTCTGGTTCAGGAGAGATCTGAGGGTGGAAGATAACCCAGCTTTAGCTGCTGGAGTGAGAGCAGGAAGTGTGGTTTGTGTCTTTATTTGGGCACCTGAGGAAGAAGGCCCATATTACCCTGGAAGGGTGTCAAGATGGTGGCTCAAACACAGCTTGGCTCATCTTGATTCCTCTTTGAGAAGTCTGGGCACATCTCTCATCACCAAGAGGTCCACTGACAGTGTTTCTTCTCTTCTTGAGGTTGTTATTTCCACTGGTGCCACTCAGCTCTTCTTCAACCACTTATATGGTCAGTTCTTATCTGTTAAACCAATTTTCTTAATTCTTATCTGTTTCAATAGTTTTTAAGATGTCTTCTTTTTCAATGATCTGGTTTTTGTGTCTTGAATATAGGGATGATTCTGATTTCTATTGGCGTTTTTAATTTCTCTCCTCTTCTGGGTTTGGGGCTAGTTCAATAAATTTATTGGTTTGGCATGTAAATCTGTGGTATTGGTTGAAAAGTAATTCAATTTGTTTTCTTATCAAATTCAAAAAGGTTGGTGCTTTGATGTCTGGCTGAATTGTTTGATTATTTGATTAATTACCTGCCATGTTCCTGTTTTGGGTGATTTACCATTCAGTAGCTGTTGACAGTGTTGAGGTTTCTTGATTGGGGAAAAAATGCTATTTGATTGTTTGTAGTATAGTGGTCCTTTCTCACCAACAGTGGGAACAGATTCAGTTATGATTTGTTTATTAAGCCCATTTGAATTTTTTAAAGTATAAAAAGAAGAATTTTTTAACTATCAACATTTTTAGTTACGAGGAACAGAGCGTGTGTGTTCTGTCTAAGGATCCTTCTGTTCTTCATTTAGTTAATTCTTGTATTTCCATTACACGGTTGAGGAAATCAAAGTAACAAAGCTTTTGCAATTTAATGCTTAGTGCTATCTTCATATTTCAGATCCTATATCACTGGTTAGGGATCACCGGGCCAAGGAGGTTTTAACTGCTCAAGGCATAGCTGTGCGTTCCTTTAATGCGGATTTGCTCTACGAACCATGGGATGTTAATGATGTCAATGGTCGCCCGTTCACCACCTTCGATGCTTTTTGGGGAAGATGCCTTAGCATGCCATATGACCCAGATGCACCGCTTCTCCCCCCTAAGAGAATTATATCAGGTTTATTTGCATTCAAATTATTCTTGTACTTCAACTGTACTCTATGTCAATACACATCAAGCATCTTATTGTATTTTATGTCCCATCTTGTTTCTCATCCTGTTTCCCATCCTGTTTATATTTCTACAAATATTTTGGTGCTGGAGTCATGTCACTGCCTTGAATAGGCCTCATGATATTTATATATGTCCTCCAGTATGCGTACTTTTTCTACAGGAATTTCAGGTAATACTTTCATGAACCACCTTTCAGTTCATGTATTAAATTAACATTTGAAAGTTCATGAACTTTTCAGGTGACACATCAAGGTGCCCTTCTGATACATTGGTTTTTGAAGATGAATCAGAGAAGGGAAGCAATGCGCTTCTTGCTCGAGCATGGTCACCTGGGTGGAGCAACGCTGATAAGGCTCTAACCACATTTATAAATGGACCATTACTTGAGTACTCTCAAAACCGCAGGAAGGCTGATGGTGCCACAACATCATTACTTTCTCCCCATTTGCATTTTGGGGAGGTAAGTGTGAGGAAAGCATTTCATCTTGTTCGCATCAAGCAGGTTCTTTGGGCCAATGAAGGCAACAAGGCTGGTGAAGAGAGTGTGAACTTGTTTCTGAAGTCTATTGGTCTTAGGGAATATTCAAGATACATTAGTTTTAATCATCCCTACAGTCACGAAAGACCTCTTCTTGGGCACCTAAAGTTCTTCCCCTGGATTATAAATCAGAGCTATTTTAAGGCATGGAGGCAAGGTAGAACTGGCTATCCATTGGTGGATGCTGGCATGAGAGAGTTGTGGGCCACAGGCTGGCTGCATGATCGTATACGAGTAGTAGTTTCTAGTTTTTTTGTAAAGGTTCTGCAGCTTCCATGGAGGTGGGGAATGAAGTATTTCTGGGATACACTCTTAGATGCTGATCTTGAAAGTGATGCTCTTGGTTGGCAGTATATATCTGGTACTATCCCCGATGGTCGTGAATTTGACCGCATAGATAATCCACAGGTGCAAATGTTGAGCCTGATTATCTTGAATTTTAGACCGTGCTTCTGCACATACATACACACACAGCTCTAAATTTTACAAGGCAAAAAATTTATCCATGCTTTTCTACTCATATGTTGCAATTCTGGCTTTCAAATATTAGATATATAGTTTCAGCTCGATATTCTAGTGTCCCTCATCAAGGGTCATCAGTAATGAATAGAATCTAGTGCACCTTGTTTGTCAGTGCCCATGACTGTTCATAAGAAGCAATTTCTCAAAAGCCTGGGAGACATAGTTCTGCCTTGATTCCACTCCATACGATGCCTCACCTGAAAGGCCCCACCAGTAGTGGCTACTAGGTTTATAAGGGCAGTGTAATTGGTGGTCATCAATATATAGGGGTTTTTGCTTTTTATGGACATTGACATGCTGCTCTTTAAAGTATTAAAAACGAAGATTGTGGAGTTGTTTTCACACATGGACTATTAAATCATACATGAAAACCTGCAAAAATCTTGTGTTGAAAAACTTCGTTTATTTAATGTTTCTTCACTTTTAGCTATATTTGTGTCTGAAGTAACGAGTGCAGACGCAATTTTTTATACAGTTATGAAAGTTGATAATTGATTCATGCTCCTCTTTGTTTGAGGGGATTAATGCAATATTACCACTCTTAGTTGATCAAGTTTCAGTAATAAAAAATCTCATATTGATTTGATTTCTACAGTTTGAAGGTTACAAATTTGACCCAAATGGAGAATATGTGCGAAAGTGGCTTCCTGAACTTGCCAGACTTCCAACTGAATGGATACACCACCCATGGAATGCACCAGAATCTGTACTCCAAGCAGCTGGAATTGAATTAGGATCGAATTACCCTCTCCCTATTGTAGGAATAGATGCGGCGAAAACCAGGTTGCAAGAAGCATTATTAGAGATGTGGCAGCACGAAGCTGCTTCAAGAGCTGCTGTTGAAAATGGAACTGAAGAAGGGCTTGGAGATTCCTCTGAATCAACCCCTATTGCCTTTCCTCAAGACATACAAATGGAGGAAAATTATGAACCCGTGAGGAACAACCTTCCTGCCACTCGAAGGTATGAAGATCAGATGGTCCCAAGCATAACTACATCTTTGGTGAGAGTTGAAGAGGAAGAAAGTTCATTGGATATTCGAAATTTGGTGGAAGAAACCAGAGGAGAAGTGCCTACGAATGAAATGGTAAATCAAGAACCAAGAAGAGACACTTTAAACCAAGGGGTTTTGCAGACTATTCGTAACAACACTCTGCCACAACCAAATGCCGCAATAGGGCTGCAGCATGCTATTGAAGATTCCACTGCAGAATCTTCCGGTAGCAGTAGGAGAGAGAGGGATGGAGGTGTAGTTCCAGTCTGGTCTCCTTCAACTTCTAGCTACTCAGAGCAGTTTGCGAGTGATGACAATAGCATTGGAACAAGTTCTTACTTGCAAAGACATCCACAGTCTCACCAAATAATGAATTGGAGGCGGCTATCTCAAACTGGGTAAGAACTTTTGAACAATTCACCAAGCAGACTTTTTAAAACCTTCCTCTTGTCTAAAGCAGTTAAGAAGCTTAGCTTTGAGACATATCACAAAATGGAATTGGGTCTGTTGGTGTATTACTTAAATTTCTTGAGTTGTTAAATTCTAAAACAATGTATCACAAAGCATTAAGTGAATGCCTATTTGTTTGAGAGTTTATGTTTATATTCGTACGCTGGCTGTCTCATTTTCACTCCTATTTTTCTTCTTTTACAGGTAAAACATATAGATGCAAATAGGAAAAAAAAAAGTGTGGTGTGGTGAAGTGATGCACGCCATCAAATGGATTTGGGGAAGCTGAACATATCTTCCACATTGACCTTCCAACCCGTTCTCCTGGCCACGAGTGACCTTAAACAGCAGTAGACCCCCAGTGTGTGATATTTTCTAATTAATACAGGCAACTTATTAGCTATCCTTTTCTTCTTCATTTTTCTTGTTCTACCATAATGCAGCTCTGTTGTATAGCAATGTTGTACTTATAAAGGAAGAGAGTGAAATGAGATATGTAGTCATTGAACAAACTCAGGTTTTTGCTTTCTCATTCTATTGGTAGCAGATACTTATAACGTATGCTATGTATCCACACTTTGTTGTAGGTTTGGAAATTTACTGATCTGTTATGGAAATTGCACCCACTAAGTATCTGCCCTAATATCTTTACATCCTAATGCAACCCACTAACTACACGATTGAATATGCCTGTGAGTATAGGGATAGTTCTTTACTATTGGGGATATGAGCAATCTTATTAAAAGTAAAAATAAGGAATCGTTCTACATCTTATTTGGCATGACCAGAGTGATTTTGTGACATTTTGCGCATAGCCAAGACCACTCATTAAACTTCACACTTGTGCAAGTGTTCTGGCTATCAGATCAGCGTTGCGTGAGTAAACAGGATTGTGTACGACACTGGCGTTCTCATCAGATTTTACAGATGTGGGTGCCCGGAGAACACTGTCATCAGATTCTACCGGCGTAGGTACCCTGAGAACACCGTACACCATAGTAGCGGCAATGGCTCCATGAATAGGGCCCGCAGTATAGACCCAAATATTCTCATAAATACCAGCGACAGTAGCAGGGCCAAAACTTCTGGCAGGCTTCATAGAAGCTCCAGTGATAGGGCTGCAGATTCCAATGCATAAAAAAATGTCACAAAACTCAGCAGACTAGTGCTATAACAATGAAGGTAAAATGCAAAGCTATGGTAATAGATCAGTTATTAGATTTTTACTGAGGAGTTAATTACCCAGCAACCATAACAGTAAACACAGCAGCAGCACCTATAGCAATTCCAGAGATATTTTTGCTCTGTTTTTGACAGTCAAGCATATAGGGTTAGTATTTTCTTGCACCAAAATGAAAGGGAGAAGATGATCTTGTTGGGGTTAGCAAAACATATTTTTGGGTGGGTTGATGAAATTCTATAATTCAAAGCCTACAAAGTAGATGATTTTACCGCTCTGTCATCAGTAGCAACACCACAAATGGTGAACATCAATATAAAAGTGCTTATAAATTCCCAGGTGAGGGCTTGTACGTAAGTTGTTGAATAAGAGAACTGAGTCAAGGTTGCTTGAATGTTGTTTTGGTCGTTAAACAACAGCCTCAGGGTCAGGCTTGCTAGGGTTGCTGCCGACAACTGTGACATGATATACATAGGTACCTACACAACAATACCAAGCATATTTTAACCAAGTTGCAATTGAAAATGTTTAGAGACACCCTTAAATAATTTTGGGTTTCTTTAAAAGACTTATCCGTTTACATATCCAATAAAAATTTAGAAAACTAACATGTCATTACCATGTTAAGGCCGTGTTATAGTCAAGATCGAGTCAGAGATGTAAGTTAAGATGAGAACATGAGACATCGTTTCACATATCGACTCTATCTTTATCTTTTCCATTTCAGAACAAGTTAGTTTACTATGTTTTTAAGAGAAGGAAAGGCAAAACATTTTATGTTAAATGTTATAAACAAGTTATTTCATGAAGAAACCCTCAAACTTTGTTGTTAGTGTCTCACATGTCTGCATGGAAATCTGCGGCCAGCAGCCAAGGCAATGGTAACTGCAGGGTTGAAATGGGCACCAGAGACATGCCCAACTGCATATGCAGTGGCCGTAAAAGCAAGACCCCATACAAGTGCTATGCCCACAATTGTAAGAGATTGTATATTGTTGACAAGAGCAGCCCCACAGCCACTAAATATAAGAATGTATTGTGAACAATTCAAGCAGAAGCAGAGAATGCCAATATATTCACAAAACAATTAATTAATATACAGCAGCTGTAAGCTTACAATATATAGGCATATAAAGATGCCCTAGATAAGTAAAAGACCTAACTACCCTTAAAAGACACAGACTCAAATATATATTAATATTGGCTATACAATTGTCACACCCCCTGTCAAACTCACGATGTTACAGTATTAAGCATCGAGAGTTTGCTAAGAAGAAAGCGGAAGCGAGCAAGAGTGTGAGACTTGGTGAAGAAGTCGGCCAATTGCATGGTGGAGGAGACAAAAGGAAGAGAGATAGTGCCTTGCTGGAAATGATGGCGAACAAAGTGACAGTCCAACTCGATGTGCTTTGTGCGCTCATGAAAGACAGAGTTGTGAGCAATTTGAATGGCACTTTTATTATCACAATACATAAGAGTAGGCATAGAGAGAGAAACACCCATATCTTGAAGCAACCACCGAAGCCAAACAATTTCAGCAGCAGTAGAGGCCATAGCACGATACTCAGCCTCAGCAGAAGAACGAGAAACAACTGATTGTTTCTTACTCTTCCAGGAGATAAGAGAATCACCAAGAAAAATGCAATAACCAGTAGTAGATTTCCGATCAAAAGGATCGCTAGCCCAACTAGCATCAGAAAAGGCTCGAAGCTCCAAAGTGGAGGTGGAAGGAAGCAATAAGCTTTGAAACAATGTCCCTCGAAGATAGCGTAAAATACGAATCACAGCAGCCCAGTGAAGAGTAGTGGGAGAAGAGACAAACTGACTAACAATATGAACAGCATAGGCAATATCAGGGCGAGTAATAGTGAGATAAACCAAGCTCCCAACAATAGTGCGATAAAGAGTAGGATCATCCAAAGGGGTACCATCAGATGGAGAATAACGCACATTGAGCTCAAGAGGCGTATCAGCCACTCTAGTATCTGTAATACGAGCTTTTTGAAGAACGTCAGCGGCATACTTAGACTGAGAAAGAAGATAACCTTTAGGGGAAGATGCAACTTCAATGCCAAGGAAATAACGTAAGGGACCTAAATCCTTCATCTCAAATCGATCATGTAAAGCCAATTTTAATTGGGTGATACCATCCAAATCATCACCCGTAAGAATCATGTCATCAACATAAAGGAGGAGAAGGATACGACCAACAGAGGTAGAACGAACAAACAAGGCAGGATCATGAGCACTTGATTGAAAACCAAGAGAACCAATAACAGCAGAGAATTTCTCAAACCAAGCACGAGGAGCTTGTTTAAGACCATACAAAGCTTTCCGTAAACGACACACCCCCCCGGGATTATGAAGAACACCTGGAGGGGGAACCATATACACCTCTTCGAAGAGATCCCCATTCAAAAAGGCATTTTTAACATCCATCTGTGATAAACTCCATTGATGAACTGAGGCAACAGCAAGTAAAGTACGAACAGAAGTCATCTTGGCCACTGGAGCAAAGGTCTCTTCATAATCAAGGCCATATTCCTGTGTAAATCCCTTAGCAACCAAACGAGCCTTATATCTCTCAAGAGAACCATCAGACTTAGTCTTAATTTTATAAACCCATCGACATCCAACTGCATGTTTACCAGGAGGAAGAGGAACCAAATCCCATGTGCCAGTTTTATGCAGAGCAGAAAGTTCTTCATTCATAGCCTGTTGCCAAAGAGGATTACATATAGCCTCCTTGTAGGAGGTGGGTTCAGAGATAGTATGTATAGAAGATAAGAAAGAAGAGAAATCATGAGAATAACAAGAATAACTAAAATCAGTAGAAGAATAACCAAACCGATGAGGGGGCTTATGAGTGCGCGAAGGATAACGAGGTGCTATTGGATCCACATCCACAGAAGTTGAAGCAGGCACTAAAGGAGAAGAAGGATTATTAGTGTCAGAACTGATGACATGTTTCCTGCGAGAATACACTTGAGTAATAGGAGGAGAAGTAATACAAGGATTAGAAGGGGAACTAGAAACAGGAGAAATATTAACATTGTCAGAATAAGAGAAATCATCATTACTAGGTGAAAAAGGATCGATATACATGAGCTCAGAATTCGATAAAGTAGGAGAATTAGTAGGAATGGAGAAAAAAGGAATATGCTCAAGAAAAACCACATGACGAGAGACATACAATTTTTGTGCACTAGGATCATAACAACGATAACCTTTTTGTCCTTCGCCATAACCAAGAAAAACACACATAGCAGAGCGAGCAGATAATTTTGTATGTTCAACAGGAGGACGAAGAACAAAACAAGTACAACCAAACACTTTCAATGAGAAATAATCAGGACTATTACCATACAATCTTTCAAACGGAGACATACCAGAGGTGAGAGATGTGGGAATACGATTAATCACATGATTGGCAGTCAGAACTGCTTCGCCCCAAAAAACTTTTGGGACATCAGCAGAAAGCAACATAGACCTGGCAGTTTCAACAATATGTCGATGTTTCCTTTCGGCAACACCGTTTTGTTCAGGAGTGGCAGTGCAAGAGAATTGGTGTATGGTACCATCTGAAGCAAGTAAGTCAGTGAAAGCATGAGAGGTATATTCACCACCCAAGTCACACCGAAAACATTTAATGACAGTAGAAAATTGTGTATGAACAAGGGCGCGAAAATTTTGAAAGATAGTAAAGAAATCAGAGCGGCGTTTCATAAGATAAATCCAACAATAACGAGAGTAGTCATCAATAAATGAAACATAATATCTAGAGCCCCCTTTACTAGAAATAGGAGCTGGGCCCCATACATCAGAGTGAATTAAATCAAAAGGTGCTAAAGAAATAGAGGAACTTCTAGTAAAAGGTAATGCAGAAAATTTGGCAAGTTTACACCCACTACAATCTGAAATGTCATGACAATTGAAATTGCCTAAAGCTCCTGTAGAAACTAAATATTTCAAACGAGAACCAGAGACATGACCAAGACGAGAATGCCAAAGATAAAAATTAGACGACTTAGGACTCAGACAGAAAGACGACAAATCAATAGACGAAGCCACCAAGGCA